AGACACTGCACTGGCCCAGCCATGCCTGCCCTGGCACAGCTGCCCAGGGAGATGCCCTGATGAGCCCACGGGGCAGGCATTGGAGTGTGGAGCTGCCACCTCCCTGGGAAACTCTGACCGGCTCTAGCCCGGCGTGCTGGGCAGGGGCAGGTGAGCCAACAGCCCGGGCTGCTTCCAGTCCTGCGGGGCAGGAACCTCATCAGAGCCTGCAGCTTCTCCTGGGGGGAGCTCCCATCTCTGCTCTGTGAGCAGGGACAGCACCCAGGGAAGGGCTGGAGCTCTGGCAGGGGGTTTAGGTGGATATCAGGAAAGGTTCATCCCCCATAGTGCTGGCACTGCCCAGGCTCCCCAGGGAATGGGCACAGCCCCGAGGCTGCCACAGCCCCAGGAGCATTCAGACAACGCTCTCGGGGATGCCCAGGGTGGGATTGTTGGGGTGTCTGTGCAGAGCCCCAAGTGGGACTCAATGATCCTTGTGGGTCCATTCCAAGTTGGGATATTCTCTGATTGTAGGTGCTGACAGCAGAGCAGCCGACACTCCCCACCCCTGCTGCAGGGCTGACACCCACAGCTGCCTGTGCTGCCTGCTCTCCCTGCATCCCAGAGCAGTGAGACGAGCCCTCCCTGCACCCAGCCTGCTGCTGGCACTGCCTGCTGCTGGCACTGCCAGCACATCCACCTCAGTGCAGGGCTACCCAGACCTCGCCGAGTGCCAGCCCAGCCCTGAAGAGCTCCAGCTGCTGTGAGCGTTAGCCCTGGCACATCTGCCAGCACAGGCTCACCACTGCAGCATCTTCAGGGCACAGGGGAAGCCTCAGGGGCAGGAGAGGACTGGAAAGTGGCAGCATGAAAGCTTCTCCATCACTTGCATGCCAGGCCAAATGGATGCAGAGAGGTTTGCACTCAGATGGGCTTTTCCCAAGTCCAACCCTTACAATTTTTCATGGAAGAACAACTCATCTGGCAGCTCTGAGAAACAGCCTGGAGAGCAGCACCCAGAGGAAGGCACCTCTCACCCAGCTCCAGGCTGGCTCCCCTTGGCAGCAGGGGCAGTGACAGGAGCTGTGCCAGCTGGGGTTGCAGTGGCAGGACTGCAGTGCTTGGACGAGCATGGCCCCAGCATGTTCCTGCACATCACAATAAATCACCACTGAGCAACTTCTCTCCAACACACCAACAAAAGTCATTTTTCTGATCCACCATCTGCCTCTTCACTGCTGCTTGTCTGGCTCAGAGCACCACTGTTCTCAGGATGCTCAGTGTCTGGATGCCAAGGGGCTGGGTTTGGGTAACACATGATCTGCCACCACACTGCTGCACCATTTTCCTTCACCTGTCTGTGTTTCCCCACTCCTGAAGGAAGCTGTGATGTGGATTAGCCTCAGCAGTGTTGTCGAACTCCAGCTTTGTCCAGAACAAAACTAGAAGGACAGTGGAGAACTTCCATCCCTGGAAGTGTCCCAGTCCAGGCTGGATGGAGCTTGGAGCAACCTGGTCTGGTGGAAGGTGTCCCTGCCCATGGCAGGGGTTGGACCACATAATCTTTAAAGGGCCTTCCAACCCAAACCACACCATGATTCCAACAATCCTGAGGCCAATCCTTCCATCCATTTCTTCTTAAGTAAAGCCCCATTACCCAACAGTATGAAGCCCTCTGTGTCACCTCAGCCCCCCCCTCACTCCGTGGCACTGCTCCCCTCCTGCCTTGACATCCCCATCCCACTGCTTCAGGCCACATCTTTCCAAACTCCTGGGAATAGTTTCTCATGCTGGTGTGAAGATAAAACACAGGTAATGCCTCTGGAGCCTGTCAGCTCTTGCCAGAACTCATGCTTCCTTGTTGAAACAGATTCTGTAGGACATCTGCAATTTTCAAGACAAACATCTCTGTCTCTGGAGACCAGGCTTAGAAGGAAGATGTGCCCGTGCTGCGGATGCCCTGTGGCAGGGATGGCACTGGTGTGAGGGAAGCACACAGCCCGTGGTGTCTCTGCCACCTGCTCTGGGAACTGACCCCACATTTACACACCGGGTGTTTCCAGGACAGGGCCACGTACAGCCAGGGCTGTCCCACAACACCAGGACGTGGCAGCATCCCACAGTTCAGGCACAGGTTCTGCAGCCTTCTGGAGAAGCTCCTCAGCTCCAGGTGCCTGCTGGTAGGAGTGAGGTCTCTGGGATGTTCTTCCAGTTCCATGCACTGCACCCCAGCCTGGCAGTCCAGCACTTTTCCAAGGCATCTCCTGCCTCTCCTGAGGGAGATGCACAAGACAACAGCTACAGCAGGACATGTGTGACTCAGTGCTGCTGGTACCTGGTGAACCTGCTCCTGTTTGGCTCAGCAAAAGACCCAAATGGATGAGGCGGGGCTCATCTAAGGAGCCTAATGAGGCAAATGTGCTGCACGGTGGGAGGAGGCAGGTGAGATGAATGACTACAGCAACCTCAGCACCTTTCCTACACCTGGGGCAAGGGAGTGGCTCCGGAAGAGCAGGAACCTCCCCAGTGCATGTCCTCAGTAACTGCTCCTCTTATCAGACACCAGGGGAGTGTGCAGCAATGAAATCACAGGAAGATCTAGGTTAGAAGTGACCTCTTGATGTTTCTGGTCCCACGGGCTGGCAGAGTAGTTTCAAAATCAGATCATTTTGCTCAGGACTGTGTCCAGATGAGACCTAGTGAATCTGATCCCCATGGATGGGGCTCCCATAGGCTCTCTGAGCAGCAGCCCCCAGCTGCCTTGTTCTTTGGGGCAGAAAGTTGCCCTCACATTCCACTGAGATTTTCCTGGCTGTGTCCTGTGGATGTTTCCACCATTCTCTCCCTCAATGCCCCTCAGCCTCCTCCTCTCCAGGCTGACCAGACCCAGCTCCCAGCTGCCCTCACCTCTCATCCTCCAGCCCCAGCCTCAGGCTCCAGTTTGTCCATGACTGTGATATGGGAGCCCCAGAGAGAACACAGGACCCCAGGTGTGGTCCCAAGACTGCAATCCCGAGATGGATTGTTTCCCTCTCCTGGGAAACAATCCCTGTATGGACTTTTTGCTAACAGAGCACAGCACTCTGCAGTGCCACAAAACCTGGTTCTTTGTCACACCCTTCATGCAGCTGAGGGCCTGGGGTGCACAGAGAGGCTCCCAGTCCTGTGAACAGGGATGGGCTGAGCTTGAAACCAGTTTAGAGAAGCCAACCAGACTCAGAGTGACTTTCCCAGGTCTAGTCAGCAGGAACAGCTTCAGCTGGATTCTGACACGATGCCCAGGCAGCTGACTGTGCCCTGTGACACAGAGGAGATCAGATATGGACAGTGCCCACTCTCAGAACCTTGATCACCCTGTGATGTCACCACGAAGGTGTGAACAGAAGTGGATTTATCCCGATGGGGTGTCCAGGGGTACGTTCCTAAAAGTGCAAAAAAACCAAACAGACCTTCCTTCATTCCACAGCTGAT